TAATATTTATTCACCTTATCTCTTAAAAAGTAAAAAAAATATTATTTTAAAATTATATCATTTTAATAAATACTTATTAAAAAAATTAAAAAATTATATTCTTAAAACATAAATTAAAGTATTTTTTTAATATTTTATTAAAATTATATAATTTTAAAATAATTTTTTTTAATTTTTAAAATGTAAGATGGATAAAAACTAATTTCAAACTAAAATGATTAGTTTTATTTATTTTAAAATGTGTGCAAAATTTTTTTCTTAATAATAGATCACGCATTAAAAACAGAAAGGGCAAATTTTCAAATAAAGTAGTACTAGTATTAGCTTTTTATGCAGGACATTCCATCCAATTTGCCAGCAGACAAATTAACTTTACAAATTGACAGAAAAAGAGATTATATCAATTAATAAACAAAAATACTACCAAATCCAAAATTTCAAAACTCAAATCCGCCCCTTTCATTTCATGTTCCCCCAATTAGTCACTGCCCTCCCTCTCTCTCTCTCTCTCTCTCTCTCCAGCCCTCACTGTTCGGCAGTAAGCACTCCTCACTCTTACTGGTACCCATTTCCCCCGTTCAGCCTCCTCCGTCATAAACCTCTCTAGTCTTCACCTGTTTATATATAGCTGCCACTCCATTTCTGGACTCACCCATTTCAATGGCGCCTCTCTTTTTCCTTTGCTTTCTCTCTGTGTTTTCTCTTGCTTCTTCTGCTTCACGGGCTGGTGAAAAAACCTTCATTGTCAGGGTTCAGTATGATGCCAAACCCTCAATTTTTGCTACCCATAAGCACTGGTACGAGTCTTCTCTTGCTTCGGTACTTTCCACCACTGAGGCCCCCAGCATAATCCATACTTATGACACTGTTTTTCATGGCTTCTCCGCCAAGTTGTCTTCCTTGGAGGCGCTGAAGCTCCAAACACTTCCCCATGTGGTTGCTGTCATTCCGGAGCAGGTTAGGAGGCTGCAGACAACAAGATCGCCTGAGTTTTTGGGTCTCAAGACCACTGACAATGCTGGGTTACTCAAGGAATCTGATTTTGGGTCCGATCTTGTGATTGGGCTTTTTGATACCGGGATATGGCCCGAGCGGCAGAGTTTTAATGACCGGGATTTGGGTCCGATTCCTGCGAAATGGAAAGGGCAGTGCGTGACGACGAAGGATTTTGGATCGAGTTCGTGTAATAAGAAGCTTATTGGAGCGAGATTCTTCTACAATGGGTACGAGGCAACGAACGGGAAGATGAATGAAACCTCGGAGTACAAGTCGCCAAGAGATTCGGACGGACACGGGACCCATACGGCGTCCATAGCCGCCGGGAGGTATGTCTTTCCTGCTTCCACATTGGGATATGCACAAGGGGTGGCCGCGGGTATGGCGCCCAAGGCGAGACTCGCCGCTTATAAGGTCTGCTGGAATTCGGGGTGCTACGACTCTGATATTCTTGCTGCGTTTGACGCCGCCGTTGCTGACGGCGTCGACATTATTTCGCTCAGCGTGGGTGGTGTTGTTGTGCCGTATCATCTCGATTCCATTGCGATTGGAGCTTTCGGTGCTACTGATCGAGGGATTTTTGTGTCTGCTTCTGCCGGAAACGGTGGTCCCGGTGGGCTTACGGTGACCAATGTTGCTCCATGGGTCACCACCGTTGGTGCTGGGACCATCGATAGAGATTTCCCTGCTGATGTTAAACTTGGTAATGGGAAGACGTTGCCCGGAGTTAGTATATACAATGGGCCTAGTTTGACTCCCGGTCGGATGTACCCGTTAGTGTATGCCGGAAGTCAAGGCGGTGATGAGTATTCGGCTTCTCTGTGTTTGGATGGTTCTTTAGATCCCAATTTCGTTAAAGGAAAAATCGTTGTGTGTGATAGAGGGATCAATTCCAGGGCTGTGAAAGGAGAGGTTGTGAAGAAAACGGGTGGGATTGGAATGATTTTGGCAAATGGAGTTTTTGACGGCGAAGGCTTGGTCGCCGATTGCCATGTTCTTCCAGCAACTGCCGTCGGTGCATCCGCTGGTGATGAGATTAGGGGGTACATCAATGCTGCGTTGAAATCAAAATCGCCAGCCACAGCCACCTTTGTTTTCAAGGGAACCCGGTTGCATGTCCGGCCAGCTCCTGTGGTGGCCGCATTTTCAGCACGAGGGCCTAATCCAGAGACGCCGGAGATTCTGAAGCCCGATGTAATTGCTCCAGGATTAAACATTCTAGCTGCTTGGCCTGATAAAATCGGCCCATCGGGGGTTCCATTGGATAAGCGCACAACCGAGTTCAACATCCTTTCGGGTACTTCAATGGCTTGCCCTCATGTTTCTGGGTTGGCGGCGCTGTTGAGGGCAGCACACCCTGCATGGAGCCCCGCCGCCATCAGGTCCGCCCTGATGACCACCGCATACACGGTTGATAACAGAGGAGAAACAATGCTTGATGAATCTACCGGAAACACTTCAACGGTATTAGATTTTGGTTCAGGTCATGTCCACCCAACCAAGGCATTGGACCCCGGTCTCATCTACGATTTATCTACAATGGATTATGTGGATTTCTTGTGCAATTCCAATTACACACTCAACAACATTCAGGTAATCACTAGGAAGAAAGCAGACTGCGGTGGTGCAAAGAGGGCCGGGCATATTGGTAACCTAAATTACCCATCATTTTCCGCTGTGTTTCAACAATATGGCAAGCATAAGATGTCTACCCATTTCATCAGGACAGTGACAAACGTTGGGGACCCAAAGTCAGTCTACACGGTCAAAATCCTGCCTCCTAGTGGATCGGTGGTGACAGTGAAGCCGGACCGACTCGTGTTTAGGAGGGTGGGGCAGAAATTGAACTTTCTAGTGAGGGTGCAAGTCAGGCAAATCAAACTCTCTCCGGGGAGCAACAGCGTGAAGACTGGCTCTCTAGTTTGGTCTGATGGAAAGCACAATGTCACAAGTCCCTTGGTTGTGACAATGCAGCAGCCTCTCTAATTTTGTTTGAATTTTAGGAATTTTGTTCTAGTTCGTTCGTGTTATTACATATATATTATGAGAGTAAGATTCTGTTTTCTATATCAGAAAGCGGGTGGAGTTTGGGTTGTAATGTGAAGAGAAGAAAGGACGAAGTGACCGCAGGGTGCGTGTAATGTATCTTTGCTGTAAGATCGAGAACCATGAATGTTGTGTAGATGTAGAAATATATGCTTAAAATGCTTTGTTTTCAGATGTCATGGAAAATGAGAAAAAGATGGAAAAGTGAAGGTCGGTGCTTTTCCATATTTCAAAGCTATACAACTGCATTACAGAGAACCACCATGACAATGACATTCTTGAAGACAAAAATCTCATCGGCAGTTGAATATTTTTTAGTTTTTTAAATAAGAATTTTTTTTTTTTTTAAAGTTTTGTACATTATAACCAAGTATAAAAGGGAGTAATATTAGTGATTGGGCTCAAAGCGAGGACCGAAATACCATACCACTGAGCCCTTACCACTGGGCTACAAACGTGATTGGTTCGGCAATTGGCTTGGCAGTTGAATATTGAGGATGGATGGAATTGGACTTTAGCATGGTGCAGCACATGATAGTAGGAGCATAGATGGAGTCACGGGAATCCACATTTTTACTCTTTTTTTTTTTTTTATTAACCTCCTAGTATCTAGCAATCACATTGGATCCCAACTAATTCGGAATCGAGCTGCGTCGGATTCTATTTGGAGGAAAACTCTCTTAATGCCTATTTCTCCCTTTACAAGACTCGAATTCTTGCTTAAGAAGAATCGAGTTCATTTCACTCGAACCAACAGATTGTTAATACATTTTTACTCTATTAATAAACTAGGAAAGCAACGAAGGGGGACAGAGAGGCGGTAGAAGATTGGATGGGCAGAATAATTTAAAACAGAACATACTAGGAGTAAAGACCTAGGTTTGTCTTGGATACAAGGTGCATAATTATGGTAATATTGAAACATATTGAATTGCTTATAGTTATTGACTAAATTAATGGCTTGTATATTGAATTGCTTATAGTTATTGACTAAATTAATGGCTTGTATATTGAATTGCTTATAGTTATTGACTAAATTAATGGCTTTGTGTTTTTCAATTGAATTGGTGGATTTTGGGTATAGGTGGGGTATTGTGTTTTTCTTTGTGCAGGGAGTGCCTTTCTTGCCCCATTGAATTTTTTGAGGTTTTCTAGGTGATAAGGTCTGGTAGAATAGAACAGAGGATCTTGTAGTTATGCACACCACATGTTTGATCATTTGTCTGTAAGGGGTATGCTGGACTGCTGGGTTTTGTCTCTTTGACATGTATTAGGATTATTCAGAGCTGTACTGTGTGGAAGGAGGCAAGGTCGCTTTTCTCAATTTGATGTTTCTTTCCATATCTTTTAATTCTGGGCCAGACTAGCCTGTTCCGTCCTTCTCTTAAATAATTTTTAGGTTCGTTTGATGTGGGTTCAGGTTTTAACTTTTAAAGCTTTATTTTACAATTTCAACTAGAAAAACAGGCCTGAATTGGCCCATTATGTAAAATCTTGCTAGCTCCAAAACTTGGTCTTAGGAGGGACTTTCAACATTGCTATTGACAAGCTGTGTTCCTGCCCAGGCAAACGTGTTGGCCCAGTGGGCCACTTACCCTGTTGACTCTTTGGAGCAGAACAACTTCAAACTCATAAGAAAAACGTGTTGGTCCGGTGGGCCACTACCTTCTTGACTCTTTGGAACAGAACAACTTCTGACTTTCAAGAAAAACAATAAGAAGTTAATATTTAGTTTCTTTTTTTCTTTTTAAATTATGTGCCGACTTTGATTGTCATTTGTTATGATGACCTGCCTGCCGCAGCATCAATTTTATCCGTGTCGTGTTGGTTTATTTTCTTTGTTCAATCTCCTTTAAAAAAAAAAAAATTGTTGTGTTCTCATGATCATGTTATGGGTGTATTTATTTATTTATTTTTAACTTGTATTTTCTCAACCAACCAAAGCAAACAATAAAATTTATTAGATGTTGCTGACGCATTTGACTGCGTAGGATTAAGAAATTTTAGAAATGTAAGAAACTAGTGTTGGAGATGATCAGTACACAGTACAAAACTTGTAATACGACAAGTAAATAAAGTGCAATTTGCTTATCTTTTAATTATTTGTGTCTCTATGCGGAAAGAGTGTCCCATATAGCTAATCTTTGACAATTGACATTCATTCACATATATTCTTAACCAATTTATCTCGTAATGATCGTCATTTTTTGGCTAAAGGCATACTGTTTGCTTCTTTGTGAAAGAGGCGCCCTTCAAGGTTTCCAGCACTCCTCCAATCTCATTGCACGATAGAAAGACTAAGCGAATAACCGTACTGCAAATTGCAAGTAAACTAATTAAGGTTAATCATGTTTTAGATGAAGGTGAGAAGTGCCGGTAAAACTTTAACCTCTATTAAACTTTAATGGATTGATTTGGTTAGTAAGGAGGTTTATTCTTGTTTTATTAACCACAATTAGTTTAATTCTTGGAAGAAATCATGGTAATATTTGTAATTGGTCCTAAATTCCCAAATGGAGCGCAATCTCAACCAGGATACAAGAAAAGGAAGGGTTGGATTAAGATGGACTTTGGTCCTAAGTGCAGACAGCAGCCAAATAGATTCCAGGCGTCAATCTTATCCTTTGACACGTTCATCAAAGGTTTTTTTGTCGGATTTAAAATAGTACATCTTTTGATTGGATGCAGTGTCATCATCAAAAACACTTTTTCTAAGTATACACCAAATAAATTTGTCCTCAACTTTACCGTTTGATGTGATGCAATTGGATGTATATATACACATAACACATTGCCAAAGAAAATAAAATAACCCAAGTTGTTGATGATTCCATATTCCATCCTGGTGCTGGAACATTGACCTCTCAGTTTATGGAAGCCAAACTGTGTAGTTCTCACCCTTTTCATCTCATTCTTCTTCCTCTTCTTTTTCTTCTTCTTTTTGGTACATTTTTTAAAAAATCATAAGGATTGAGTATTCACAAAATTTAATTTCGGATAATAACTATTGACTTTTTAATGAATGAATCATATATTATAAAAATCTTGCTAATAGCTAAACCACTTCCTCTCAAGCCGCAGATTACGCATCCTCTTGTTTAAGAAGTGGTTTTATGTTGTTAAGACCAATATATAATTAAGATGCATGCTTGATCTTAATTTGGTACACTAACCATGTGATTACTTGTTAAAATAACATTTATTATCATGTTATTTGCTGTTGATTACCTACCATTTTAAACTTTTTGGTGGGAGAAAAGAGTTAAGGTAAGTGCATGGTACATGGGTTTGATGCTTGCCAATTACGCAGTCTCTTTTAACATTTTATTTTAAAAGAATTAAAATGTTTATTCATAACTGAAACAAAAATAAAGAAATTGTTCAAAATATTAGATTACATGTTTACTAATAATAAGTATTTTTACTAATTCTTAACTTCATTGCTAAATGATGAACAACTTAAGAGGTATGGTTGCAATTAATATATAAAGCGATCTAAAAAACATGGCAATTAATTGCATGAGAAGGGAGAGGTCCGAACTCATGCTGCACTTAAGCAGGATGTGGTGGAACTCATGCTGCATTTGAGCAGGATGTGGTGGATCATGGATGTCTTTTTTATGTAATTAAAGAGATATTTTATACTTTGGATTATATTAAATTATAAATTATTAATTATTAAATTAAAAAATATTTTAATAATAAAATAAATCTTTTTATTCAATAATTAATATTTTATAGTTTAAAACAAACTCTTATATAACTTACTCCATTTATCATAGAATATTAATAGTCGTTATTTTACTTTTCTTTTCCACAAATTAAAAATTAATAAATAATTTATGCTTTTACCTGCCTAAGAAAACTTTTACTGCATCCTCACATCACCTTGGGATGGTGGGGCATTTTACTCCAATTTTGTTATTGGGCCCGACTGCTAAGCTGATGTTGATTATTCCAGATCTTTCATAAATTTATCCATAGTGGGCTGATAACAACCGCCTATTGGTCAGCCCAAGCAGCCACTTGCCCACTTGACATCCTACTCTCCTAAGATACCTAAAAACTAAAAAATAAATATAAAAAAATAATGAATATAATAACTAAAAAAATAAGATACCTAAAAATATTATCTAGTCTCAATCTAAAAGGATAGATGACTATGAAATTTTAAACCTAGGAAAAGCGTGTAGGTAACGTGTTAGTTGGGATGGTTCTCATGGCAATGTTAAAATAATGCAAACTGCCAAGTTGATCATGCTTTTACGACATTCTTAATTATTAGATAAAGCACAAGGTTAAGACAAGGAAGATGCCTGCCTCGGCCATTGAACTTGGGGAACGTGAATTTATGCTTAGTTACTTCCTATTCTTTGTAAAATAATCAGCACTTGTCTAGTTGCACACTCATTTTAATCAGGAATTTTCTAATATGGAGATGTTATTTTAAGGGACATGTTAAAAATGCATTTATTATATTTTTATTATTAATTTGTATGAAAAAAATATAAAAGTTAATTTAAGTTTTACTATTTATTCAATGAAAGCCAACTTTTTACATGAGATTAATATTAAAAATAAAATT